TTTTCAGATATGATTGATCTTGGACCACAGAAAGGAAAAAACCTAGTGGGGGAGAGGGGACTAACACATAAATTGGTATAATCTTTTGGGAACAAAATTAGGTAATACCGAAACAATTGTAAAATACGCATACACTTTCATGCAACAGTTCCACTAAAATGATTGTATTCATGCAAAGAAGACACACTAAAAAGTTCATCTCAGTACTGTTTATATTATCAAAAACTTAAAGCAACTGAAATAAAATTTAATTTGGAAAATTCATACAATGGAGTGCTACACAACTATAATGAAGAATGGCCTATGAAAAGACTGTGACTTTATAAACTCTAAAAGTCATACACATGTCTATGTATGTATGTGTGTGTGTGTGTATGTAAGTTATTTAGCTTCTGTGAGAAATAAACAAATTATTACTTCCAAAGCACAGAGACTAGTACCTGGCAAATAACAACCATTAGGAACAATTTATCAAAATGTGAGAGTATATGCAGGAAGAAAATATAGAAAAACAAACTAAGAGGTCAACAGTGGCTTTATCTGGGAGGTGGGATTGTGTATTTTCTCTTTTCATAAATTAATGTTGTCTAATATTTTTACATGATGATTTTTGTAGTGAAACTATTTTATAGAAAGTATAATCTTAGAGAAAATCACATTATTCGAAAGAGGACATCTTACATATGCATCGAATTCAATCCAGGAATACTAAACAGTTCAAACTCATGAGGGACCCAATACTACAGAAAGGAAATTTTCTGGCAGTGTTAACCTGTTCAGAGGATGTAAGTGAGGGGATGGAAGGAAGACAAAGCAGATAATGTCATGAATGTTGAAAAAGAGCAATTTCCTCTTCCCTGAAAATCTGTGATTCTGGTCTGGAAGCCTGGAGCCACTCTTAGCCAAGAGAGGAAGTGGGGAGCCATGGACAGAACCTGCCCCCACATCCCACAGCCCAGGCAAGGCTGGACCTGACTCAGCGCCTGCAGGATGGAAAGCAGCGGCCAAAGGCAGACAAGCCATGATAGACAATGACACACAAACAACAAGGAGGTTTTCCTAAAGGCTAAGAAACCGCAGAATTTCCCCCAAGCCTCATAGGCAGTGTCTGGGATCAGAGTCGTTTGGATAAGAATAGGTTATGTCGCTGAACAGAAACAGTTCTGTTTTGTTCTGGCGTTTATATATCAACTGTGCCCTTGGTTACCTTATATAGAATGCGAGTGAATAATGTGTGAGTCTCCAGGCTTTTCCTGGATATAAAGTATTATCTCTTACATTTCTTCTTTTTAAAATTTCAGTTGATGATTCAATGTAATCTGCACTAGATTTCAGTGATGAAGACAAGAAGGAACAACACCTCTTTGACATGATTTCCAAAAGAAACCTTTACTTAGTGTTTTCCCTCAGAGTATAAAGCATTCTGGGCAGAAGGTGGAGGATTTGAAAAGTTTCCTGTTAACAATTTCCTTACAATTCACTTAATCCTTTTAAAAATTAGGACTAAGTGTTGATATAATTTTGTCATGACTGACAGAATAATGAATTTCTCATCCAACTAACTGACATGATTAGATCATTCTTAGGCATGAAATTCCTAGGTCAGCGGGTCACAAAGAAAAGCCTATGAAATGGTTGACCTGAGAGTGAAATGCTGGACACAATGCAACCAACCAAGGCCTGACTCTCAAGAAAGTTTAAAGAAAAGACAAGAGGTTGTATCTTAGACTTTACCTCATCTGAAAGCCACACCTCAAACAGCACGAGCACCCCGAACTGTACTTTATCTGCTTACAAGTTAGTCTCTCCCCACGACTTCTCAAGGGGAAGGAAGGTACCTTCCTCACCCCAGTACCTGCCAGGTGGTCGAATTATCTCTGTTCCCTCCCCACATACTAGTCTTGGCAGGTAAGCTGCTACCCTGTAAGTTATAATCAAGGTCAGATGCAAGGGAGACCTAGAGACTGAAAAAAGAAGGAACATGTCATTTCTGAAGGTAAAATCACACTGCCCCTTTACCTCAGGATGGTAGTGTAAAAAATTACCCGGCAGCCCCAAGCCTGCTTCATCCCAAATCCTGAGACAGCAGAGGGATGATAAATGAACCCTCCCACACACCTAGAAGCACCTCAATAATATTCATCATTCTGAATCCCTGAAGGATTTTGTGCTCTGTGCATCCAATGAGACATTAGCACACCTATTGTCTCACTTGATCCTCAATGCAGACATCTCAGGAAGCAGGATAGGACAGCGCACAAATCTCAGAAACCAAACCTAGAGTGGAATCCCTGTGCTCAGTGATCCAGGAGGACAAGTCCCTGAATCCCAAATGGCCTCATTTTTCCTTTATCTGTAAAGTTGCATTAATGATGTTTACCTCATTGTGAAGATCAAGTATGAGAGAAAAATCAAAGTCCCTGGCAAATAGTGTGTGTTCAGTAACAAAGAATGGCGTCCACTTCTCTGATGCAGTCTTTCCTTGCACGCTACGTCTATTAGACGTACATTCACAGTCCTCAGTCACAGTCACAGTCCTCAAAGCACTTCATGGCTCTGTCTGCTCCATGCCCAGGAGAGAGCCAACTGGGGGTTCCAGCCCTGGGGTCCCAGCCCTGGAGGTCAGCACCAGGTGGGCTGCCAGAGCAGCCCTGCATCTCAGGTAAGCTCTGGGACACATTTCCTGGCACCACTGCATCTCTCTATATCTGTTTCATCCACAAGGAATTTTCTTTATTGCTCAGTAGTTGGGACATGGATGTCAAGTACACCCTTCAGATTGTTGGGACATTTCTCCCCAAGTGATCATGAGACAAGGGTGATTTGAGTCAACAGAAGACCCTGCATACGGGTCCCCTAACTCTGTCTTCCCACATCTTCCCCTCTTGTTCAGCTGCATGTTTCTTACTAGCCCTCAGCAGACAAAGCTTCAAGTATTTCTGTTCCACTTCTAGGAAAATCCCAGAACCAGTGTGCCTGGGTTCAGTTCCAACTCCACCTCTCACGACCTGGTGTGCATGGCCTCAGCAAGAACTTAACCTTTCTTTTCCTTAGTTTTACCCTTTGTAAAATAAGGATAACAACAGCTTGTTTGGGGGTGTTCAATATAGTACAATAGGTACTCAATAAAATTTAGCTCTATTTATATAAAAAACAAAACTTTTCTATATATTATGCATATTATAAGTAGATATTCTGGAAGGATATACACAGGATGGCTTATCTTGGGATCCTCCAGGGAGTTTGTCAAGGAGAACTTTTATTTGTTATAAACTTGTACCCACTTTACAAGTAATTTAAACATGCTTTTTTTTTAAAAAAGATTGATTGATTGATTATTTATACAAGCACTGGGTACAGTCAGAAGCATGGGAGGGTGAGAGTATTCACCAAGCCAGAACGGGGCACAGAACAGGCAGTAGGACCGAAGAACACTGCTGAGGGGAGCAGTGGGCAGCAGGAGAGGTCTGCGTGCCATGTGGGACCCTCCTCCGGTGGCCGGGGGGCAGCCGGGGATCGAACAGGTGCTGCAGAGGCCACGGGCAGCTTCGCAACCCAGCACTCAACCACTGCGCCACTGGGGAGGCCCTTAAACATGCTTTTTAAAAGAATACATTTGGACCTCCTTGGTGGCACTAGGGGTTAAGTTTCAGCACTGTGAAGCTATCAGTAGACAATGCAGCTCGAGTTTGATCCCTGGCTAGGGAGCTACCCACATGGCGCAGCAGACCTCTCCTGTCTTGCCTGCTGCTTCCCACTCTGTCTTTGGTGAATCTTCTCAATCCTCCACCCACCCCCCCCACCACCACCGCCGGCACCTCTGGCCTACATGCCAGCTTTTGTATGCACATATAAATAAATCTTTAAAAAATTAAAAGAATACTTGGATATGGTTGAAGAAAAAGAAAGGAGGAGCAGGAAAACAGAGGGGAAAAAATGGTTGCTGAGGCAGAAGACAAGGGCTGAATAGTGAAGTCTTTACTGATTAAGACATCTGAGTCCCAGCTTCAGGACCAGTCATGGAGTTCCAAAGCCTTGTCTAGGAAACCTTCTGCCACATAGATCTGTCAACCCTAAATACATTTTTCATCAGTATTCTACAGAAGAGAGAACCAAGCTCCATCGAACAGTCATACTGGGTTGGATGGGGCAGTGAGGTTCTGATCTCATTCACAGTCGGGGTAGGACTACTCAGGTTCCTGGAATACTTTAGGAAGAGGGAGACACACAAGACAAGCCCCAGGAAATTACCACGTGACCAGGTAAGAGAGGCTCCCAAACCACCTGGGGGTGTCTTCCCCAAAAAGTCTAGGCCACTTTTCCCAGGAGGAAGAAAGGGGAGCTGTCTCAAGTTTGCTGTTTCTCCAATGTTTCATGAGATGGAGACTGAAGCAAAGGTGTATTTCACTACCTTCTGTGCAAGAACAGCCACAAAACTTTTGCCCATCCTAAAAGCTCAGTACTGTGTGTGTGTATGTGTGTGTATCTCCTTTTTGGGTAAAAGTTACATCATCAGGGCAATTTTGCCAAAATCTTCATTTAGCTGACCACATTTCTGACTTTTTCAAAAGGTAAAAATATCCCTGTCCCTACCTCCCCACACATCACTTCTGATGGGTAAAAAGCTTATCAGTTCACAAAATGCATATCTCAAGAAGCTGCATTTCTAGAAAACTGCCTCATGTATAGAGCTCACTCTATGAAAATTTATTATCAAAGTGTAAATACTATATTGCTTCCATCTTTAGCCAGGTGTCTTCTGGGTCCCATCCAGACAAACAAATACACCTATTACTGCTGACAACTATGACTATGACAGTATTTGCTTCACTTTCTTAATGCCTCTGGTATTAAGAAAGTTCCTGCCAGCCAAGCATACGCTTGTGATCCATTCCCACCACCTTATTTATAACCCCCACTCCCACCATAGCCAAACTCACCTGAAGGAACTAGATCTGCTATAAGGGAAATGTCCAACAGACCCCCAAAATGTGACTCACCTTTCTCATGACTGCTTGGTGGCAGGGTCGGGGGCGGGGAGGTAACTGGTTTGGACTTGTCATAGTTGTTAAAGCTCTGACTGCGTCGGTTGTTAGCAGTGGCTGACCCTCCGCGGGTTTTGGCCTCACTGCCTGTAGCGGATACCCTTGCAGTAGGACCTGGAAGTCTAAAATGCAAAAGCAACAAAGTAATAGATTCAGTCTCAGGAGAACAGCAACGTCTTCAGAAAAAGGAACTACAACCATGCAGGACATCAAAGAAAGCACTCAAGAAACTGGGTCTTTGGAGGCTTGCCAGCCAAAAGATTTAGTGGAACGACTACAAATATCTAGGCTACTAATGACCCCAGTAAAGTCCAACAGCAAAATGTGAGCAGTTTTCCTTTGAGCAAAGAGAGGCACTAGGGGAGAGAAGGAATATGTTTACTGATTAAAAATACAAAGCTCACCTTCCTTTTTTTCTTGGATGAGTATTTCTACTTTTCAATAGGGTCAAACCATGTTTTATCACCTCTAACTCTATCAAGTGTGGAACATAAAGGCCTGTTAAGACTCTGAATTGCATGTATCTCTTCTGGTTTGTATTAAAATAGTGTTTGCCATAATCCAGGGATGTAAATGTAAGTATCAAGAAAAATACATAATTTATAAAGTTCAGAAAGGGAATTGTGATAGCAGAACCCAATTCGTATGCAATGAAAACTATGGCCGGGATGAAAACTTTTGTTTAGATATACATTTTCCTTCACACCTTAAAACCTATCTCCATAGGCATTACTTTGAGACTGAAGCCCAGCTGCTCTGCACAGTAGATGGATAAAATTGTATGTTCTTTCTGTAAAATCAGCAGGAGTCTATTAGTCTAAAGACAAACACACACTTTCCCTTTAAATAAAACACCTCATTTTGGGTGGTTTGGGAAATAAGTCAGCAGAATTTTTTGTAACATGTCTAAAGATATTATGGCTCATTCCCCAAATAGTTAAGGGTTAGACGTCCCAAATCAGATTTTGGTTCAGGGACTAATAAGCAGACTGTTTCCAATCATTAAAGTTTGAAAGATGAATAAATGATGAAATATTTAGTTATATCTTTCAGCTAAAACCCACTTAGCTGTGTTTAAAAGCCACTGGCACCTCAGTCGACTTAGCATAAGATCTAGTGATAAGTCTGAATTTTCAGCCCATAAAGCCTTCAGCTTTCTCTGTCCATGCAAATCTGTAAGTACCAAAGAAGTCTGCAATCTGGAAGCATTTTAGATATATGCAGGCAATCACTTTAAACTTTTTCTTGTTGGCTGAGCAAGAAAGATGGTTATAGAGTAAACAGAGAACATGAGCTGGTGTGAGAGGATTGTAAAATTTATACAGTTAAGAAGCAGCTGGCCCCATTCCCTGACTGGGAACTGGGAGGGAAAGAAGTGGGGAGCACTGGCCCCAACAAGTGGCAATGGGAAGGCATTATTTCTCACACCACTATATTCACCCCACAACCCCCTATCTTGATTGGAGAAGATATTCATCATTCCATGAAGACAGGCACAGAGTGGGGTGCAAAGCCAGTAGTGCCTGTGTTTGGGGACCAGATGTGGCCAACACAGCTGATCAAGGAGGTGTAGCAATGGGATTGTGGGACGTCTTGGTTCTGCTTCCAATGCAAACAGCATCTTGCAAGCCCTCTACGTCGTCTGAGTACTCACAGCCAATGGCGGAGCTTCTGCAGGTGCACATGAGGGCTCCTTTGAGCTGCACTCCTTAACCCAGCCATAGTCTGCAGGAGTCTTTATGCCCACAGATAGGTCTGGAAAAGGATTACAGACTTGTTCCAAGATGAGGTCACAGCAGTGGTATGAAGAGGTGCGAGGTAACATAGGTCACTGCATTCTACTTCAGTAGGGGATTGGCAAAAAGCAGAGAAGCAGAAAGCAAGGAGGAGAGAAGAGACAGATTCCTTCTGCTAGACATCTCCCTCTTCCCTGACCCTGGCCTGGACTCAGAGATGGATCACAAGTTTTCAGGACTGCACAGGAAAAAGGCTTAGTTTGGATCCACCCACAAGGGAACTAAAACATCCTTTGGGATAGTGAGTCAACCCGCAAACCAAATTAATTCATACTGAATTGTAAATACTGGATTTCCGTTGTAAAATTTCAAAGCCAAACATGATCTTGAGAACCTAAGGTATCTGAGCAGGCATGGGGAGAACCCTGGGTTTTCTGGAAATTGAAGAAGTCTGCTATGGGATGAATGCTTGTGTATCCCCCAAATAGACATGTTGAAATCCTAGGACCCAATGTTTAGGTATCAAGAGGTGGGACTTTCGGGAGGTGATAAGGTGTTTAGGGTAGAGCCCTCATGAATGAAATCAATGCCCTTACAAAAGGGGATGCAGAGGTAGCTCACCCCTTCAACTATGTGATTACACAATAGAAAGACAGCAACCTGCAACCCAGAAGAGGAATTTCACCAGAACCTGACCCTGCTCGCACCTTGGTCTTCCAGCTCCACAACCGTGGGCAAAAACTTTTCTGTTATCAGCCCCCCACCCAACCCGAGATATTTTGTTATGGCAGCCCAAAGGGACTAAGATAAGAGTTCTAGCTCAATCTTATCTAGATCTTAAGGGGCTGCCTGACCTCAGCTAACATCTAAATTACACATGTATTGATAAAAGAATATGCAAAGGTCAGAAGGACTTCAAAGAAAGAAAATGATAACCTTGGAAGTTGGTGGGATGGTCAGGCAAGGTTCAGATAAAAACATCCCAGAGCAAGAAGCTGGCACACCGTGTGGGAATGTGAGGAAATGGCAAGCAGGTGGGGAGCAGAGGTCTCATGCAGGGGGACCGCCAATAGATAGTAGAAGAAAGGGCTGGTACGTGCTGGGGCTTGGGAGACAGAAAAAGAAGTGAGGCTGGAGAAGCAGGTCTCAAATTATGAATCGTGGACTTTGTCCTTCTTTCTAGCAATGGAACATTAATTAGGGAGGCCAGGAGTAGAGGTTGAGCTAAAAAGCAATCTATTTTTCAGTTTTAGAAGAAAAAAAGAAAAAAAAAAGAAAAGCCCAGTCTATTCTAGTTAACAGTGACAAAGACCCTATGCCTCTGGCTAAGGCTGTGTTCATTAGTGTTAATATCTTTGTGCATCATGGAGGTCTTCTATCAAGCCTCAGCCTGGAAGCAGCTGCTTCTGTACATCAGAATCCCCCTGTGCTAAAGAGCTGGGTCTTGCTCTTGTGGAACTCTGGCAGTTACTGCCTGAGGTGCCCCCTCACAGAAGAACGGCAGTGGGAGGGGAGCATGGCAAGTCAACCCCACGTCCTTCATACCCCACATCATCTATAGCACCAGAAGGTTCTAGTGGCTCCTTTGCCAGAGACTCTACACTCCTCAGATCACTCCATGTCCAAACATAGTTACAAAATGACAGAGGACACAGATGGGTTCTTTGAAACAAACCACATGTTGCTTTTCATTTTTATAAAAACTAAGTTTAAGGGAAGTGGTGGACCAAAAAGGCAGAGGAAATAGCTCTTAGAGCCCTGGTCAATTTCTCTAACATGTGCAAGGTGCATTCCTGCACTCAACCTGCAAGCCCATTTGGGCCCCAGTCCTGGTCCCACACACTGGATGTGCTGATGGAAGAAAGCCTCTCTTGCCCCTCAGGGGTGAGGTCAGAACCAGAGATGCTTTTTTGCTAGACCAGATGATTAAATGCTAACTCTCTCATCTCCGTGGCATCAGCAGCTGGGCAGAAAGAACCAAAGAACTAGTCCCACTGACTTCTCTCCTTAAGTTGGTCTTGAGGAGATCAACTCTGGGGGACTAACTAGAGCTGGTCCAGTGGCCTCACCTGGCCCAGATCAACCCAAACACCAGCACTGACATACCTGTCAGGTCTGACACCCTGATTACGGCCAGGTTAAAGGATTGGGAATTATTTAAATCATGTAACACTGTGTCGTAGGCAGGAGTACCCCATTTTACCAGTAAGGAAACACAGGTTCACGGAAATTAAATAATTTCCCAGTTAATACAGTAAGTGATAAAGATGGGCTTTCACTTAGGTTTGATTCAGCTGCAGGAGCTGCTTTGCCTCCTGCAGATAGAATAACCTAAGTACTCAAGGCTCATGAGGGATGCCAGGGGCAAGAATAGTGGTCAAAGGCAGAAATTCATAGAAATCCTTCATCACAATCACCAACACCCTCCACAAGCCTGCAGGGAAAGAAAATGTCAGGCTTTTCTGCCCTCCCGCCATCAGGATAGATGATGGATCCTTGCGGTCCTGAATGCATGCCTGATGGTGGGCACCTGGAGTAGGGTGTGGGCATATGTAGATGGGATTCACCTGGGCTAAGACTGTGCTTTTAAGGGCGGTGTCACAGGGATGCCAGCAGAAGCAGAGAAAGAAGCAGGAGAAGCTGAGATCATCGGAGAGGCCAGATAGAATGAGAATTTGCTGAGGGCTGGGAGACCCAGCTCCCCAGCACCCTTGCCTGCTGTGTACCGAGTAAATCCCAATAAAAGACCTGCAAAAAGCCACGAAGGGCTCTGATTCCTCCTTTACCCAGTCTGATGGATCAGAAAACCTGCACCGTGTCTGTTCCTGCTCTTACAAAGCCCCTTCCCACATTCAAACTCAAGGGCAAGGCTCCCCACTCTGCTGAATATCCCTGATGCCTAATAAGGTGTTTGGTGTAGGCAGGTGTTCAAAGTTTGCACTGGACTAAGAGACCTATTTCCAGAGCTCTGGGAGAGGTATCCTACCCAGCCAGAGGGGTAGAGCTGTTTCTTTTGGCAACTGGACCCTACTGCTGCACTATAGTGGTGCTGGATCAGCTAAATGCTTATCAGGACTGAGCTCAAGGCTGGGGGTGGTGGAACGGTGGTGAGAGAAAGCAAGGAGGAGTATTAGGCAAATACTGAAACAAAGAACATCCCTTTACTAGCTTCATCAGAGACAAATGCAGCCAAAAGAAACCACAGGTGAGAGGTATGACCTTGGAAGGAATACAGACCTTGGTTTTTGGCCAACTTGGAAGCCTGGTGTCCAGCACACCCTCGGGGCATGAGCAGACACACCCTCATCCTCACTTCTTCCTCTCTTCCCATTGCCTCCCAACCACTGCTCCTTCCACCATCTGGGACTGATAACAAATCTTTCACG